GCAGCAAATAGAAGGCATCTTCACAAAATAGATTGAAAATTCTTGGTTTAAACATTGAATCAGGTTATGTTTGGCTTTTGTATGCCCCCCAAACTAATATGGCGGATCGGTTATGACATTAGTGTTTGGTTCATTGAGGTTAGGAAGATGAAGAAGCTCTTCTTTCTTTTATATTAATCGCAAATGAGTGCGAGCGAGACAATAATCTCTCCGTATTGCTGGGTTGCATATATCAAAATTTGCCTCACTAGCACAAAGCAGTGCGCCCGTTCCAGAGTGTTTGTAGTTTAATGACTTTAAATAGGAATCTAAGAGTAAGCCACGCCCCCGCCGCCATATTCTTGCTCATTTTCAATACGAATATATAGGATTTTAAAGATCCAATCAAATATAGGAAGTCGCGAATGTTTTATTGAGTCACTGTATAAATTGTCATGACGTGGCGACATCTTTAAAGGAAATCATTAAATTAGGAGAGCAGGGCTGGGACTCTGTAACGAATAGAGATATTTTATCTATCTCCATTGACGTCTCCTCTCTATTGATTTCGACAAGGCAGAAGAAGACAGCAATTGCCATATAGATAGGTATAACGATCTGTATCCGTTACAGATTTCCAGCCCAGAGGTCCTTTCCAAATTAGGAGCATCTTTGAATTCTATTACAAAGATAAATAAACTATTCATACCTATACCTAATTATTCCAAATAAAATCCCAGATAGGTGGGAAGGTTGATCAGGATAGAAGGGCTTATTTCTTTTACTAGTTTTACTCCAAGAAGATTTAATTCGGTTACCTACTTACCGACAAATAAATCTCTTCATCAGTCTGGAACTTCGTCTGGAACAATTATTGTTGAAAAAAAAAAGTTTGCAACAAAAAAATGATTCTAATCTGTAAAGAAAGCAAATGTATTATTCTGACTATTAGGTACCTACCTAATAATTCAACAATTTTCATTTTAATGCGATAATCAAAAATCAATAGGCTGGCAAATTTGAAACTTGAGAGTATTCTGGCGGTTGCCATAAATGTATACGACTTACCTCTTATTCAACGATTTGCAAACTTGCAAACTTACCTAGTGGCGTATTATTAGCGCAAATATTTGAGTGAGCAGATGAACACTCTGCTTCCTGTTGCAGAACAGGGCCGGTGGTTTTGTGGTTTTAACCTACTGCGCCGCAAAAAACTACAGAATGTTTCAAAAGTCAAATAGGTATACTTATACCTAAATACTGTTAATTAGTTATGTGTAAATGCCACCTATTCATGGTATTGACTTTTTAGCAACTAGGTACCACACCATTCTTTTAAAAAAATGGACTAGCACAAGTTGCACACCCTCTACTCTACAAATATCATTTTATGCCATTTTATGGTTGTTTTAGCTAGAGGTCGTGAGTCGTGACAGGTTAAAAAATATTATTTATTGCTGATTTGAAACTGAACTTTTCAGTTTTATCGAGATGCCCGCAGCAGCATGTATTTGAATATTTAAAAAAATAAAAAGTGTAGCTTTGTTTTGTTGTCGGCACAGCTGACTGCTGAGCACCTTTTGCCTGTGCTTTTGCCTTTTGCCCAATATCCTTATATCCTAGACAGTGGACCAAAGAAGTTTTCGGAATAATCATTACGTACATATCGTTGATGTTTAGGTATTGCGGACTGTACATCACGTAACCTTTCTTACGAATAGATGTTGCCAACTTTCAAATTATAGTGAAGAAGTCTGCGTAAATTTAATTGCCGTGACTTTGAATTGGGTTTCCGGATGTTAAAATTATATCCAGTATACCTGTGTGGGTGCTTCAAAATTTCTGGACAGTGCGGCGAGTTTTTCTCGCACCCTCAACATGAATTGCCTATTCTTTTTTAATTTCATCTACAAATAGGTAACTAAAAATAGTGAAAATACATCGTCATTATAAAATAAATTATCTACCGTTTCGTTTCAGGGACTCAGGGGACCTAGATAACAGCGTTGATTAACAGTCTGTGAATATGACATACGCGTGCGCATTAGCGTAATTCAAGTACGTGATCAAGATAGTGACGTAGATTAGTGAAATCTGTCCGAACAAAAATGAATATGGATCGAGCTTCCAACGCAGCGTTCGTCAAACGCTAAGTTTCTAGGTGAGAAACAGTAGTGGCAAATTCCACTACCATTATTTTCATTTCTAATCAGGATTCGATTTTTTCAAGTTTGTTCACTTAACCCCGGACATCCGAAACGAATTGCTTGACACCCAAACTAGCCAATTATACTGTGTATTCAGTATAGATTAGAAGCACACCTACGGAACCTTTAATACCAAACCCTACTCCATAATATCCAAACCAAAAGATTGGATGGATTGGATTTATGTAAAGCTCGTGGACTCAACTTTTTGGTTAATTCTCATGATATAGGTACCTACATAGGTAATTGTACATTTCCAAACACACTTCCCAAAAAGTTATAGCAATTTCATGGCTAGATGGGGAAATGCCAGATGTCGCGCGATCAGACAATGAATGGCCCTTGTTTTAGGGCATTCGAATTCGCCCATTTTGCCAGAGATATTTTTCATCATAACACTAGCAGACCGACGCACAGTGTACGATTTTACCTATCTAGGGGGATTTAATTGAAAATAATAAGTATTTCGTTCCAAAAAAAATCTAGCATTTTATTATTCTAGAATGACCGGCACATTTATTTTTTGTTGTCACTTTTTGGTAAAGGAACCGGGACACAAAAAATAAACATCAAACATTTCAATAAATTATATCTAATAGTAAAGTAAAATAAATATCTTTAGTACTTCGACTTTATGCTAGCTATGTATAAAGTGTTCATTAGTTAAGAAGTATTTTTCAATATTGAAACCTTTAAATTGATTATTAAGGTATGTTTTTATAATTTTATATATTTTTTTAATTCTTAGCACGGGGGTCTATAATGCCAAATGTAACATCTGTGAAAAATTACGGCAAATACAATAGTTTTTCAAATTTCAAAATACATATTTCTTATATGAGCAAATATGGATACCAAACCATAAAAATAAATAACTTTAGGCATTAAAGTATCAGATATTATAAAAATGTTTTGCGCGTTCTTGCGCCAATTTTTGTTTCTTTTGTTTTTAGGATGGAGTGCAAGGATTCAAGAATACAAATTTTTGAAAGTACAATATTTTTTAAATTTTAAAATGCAAAATATTTCTTATATGAGCAAATATGGATACCAAAACATACAAATAAATAACTTTCGGCATCATAGTATCAGTTAGTATGAAAATGTCATGCGAGCGCTTGCGCCAATTTTTGTTTCTTTTGTTTTTAGCATGGAGTGCAAGGCTTCAAGAATGCAAATTTTTGAAAACTGGTTCAAACGTAAGGGTCGTGAAAAAATTTATCAATCTTTGGAATTTATTATTCAAAATCTAGACAAAAATTTGTTAACCGCTTTTTTGTCTTAGTATTTTTCCTTGTTAACCTCTTAACATTACTTTAGAACACTCATTATTTTACTTTTTTTCTACATTTTTAAATCACATAAGTATCTGGCCTTGTTTTTGAAATACCCTGTACATAGGAATAATAAAAATTAACTTTTTTGAATAGTTAATACTATTTAAAACCCACTCGTATGCAAATCGTATAATATTCCATAACTGTGGAATTAAATCCCCCTAGATAGGTAAAATCGCACACTGTGCGACGTTTGGGCAGTCAAATGGGCTAGCCGATTCAGAAGTTGAAATTGCCTGATTGATCGAAATGACCGATTTGTCGTTATCCCATCGCTATACCATGGGAGATGTTTTGACGATCTGGCCAGCCTCATTCAAGCTCTAGGCTAAGTTATTTAAGAACCACAAGAACCTCACAGGCATCCCATCCGTATGTGGTAAAGTTGGCTATCCCGAGGACCCCTAAATATAGAGCTTCTTTTATTTGGTGGCGTACTGCTTACCTCCTGAACTCCCTGCCTCTTACTTCATTTCCTGAACGGCCATACGTCATTCAAGTTGACAAGAATCTAATTTATCGCCGAAACCGAGTCCAATTAATTTTAGCTGGGATACGAAACCCAGTTAATACCGATTTGGATTTACAGTTTGATCTTGCCTTCCTGGGAAAACAGAAGAAAAGCCACCGCAGGCGCAGCCTCAAGTCAACACGCCAACGTCAACTTCAGCAAGAGGAAACAGACCTAGGGCGAGATCTCCAAATGTTGAAGCCCATCGCTCACATGAATCGCTAACCCGCTATATGACCGTATCGTGAGACCCCTGTTGGCTGTTCGAACGACTCCCGTATCAATGAAAACACAGAAGATGCTTTCGCTAAAGCAAGTATGTAATAAAGTTTTATACGTGTGTGTAGCGCTTATGAGTACATTTTGAAATAATAGAAACATTAGATATCAATATTAATTGTGAATAATAAAATGAAAAAAATATATAGGTACCTACTTACTATACATACATGGGTTCGTATATCAACTTCATACGAATATAAATCCTATAATTATCTCGAAAAAACGTAAATAGGTAAATAGATAAATTTCGTTTCCACTTTACCAACAAAACAAAACTATTTAAAATGTAAGGTCATCATTAAATTTTCTCAAATTCGCATGAGAAGGCCAGTTTTTCTATTTATTTTTTCACGGTGAAAAGGTAAAAGTCAACCACCTCCAACGTGATTCCTTCCGATACTAGGGAAACATTTTTCATTTACGGAAAGGGAAAATTGAAAACCAGAAAAAATCGATTCTCACTTATCTCCAAAGGGAGGGGAACATTTTTCTATAGGAACTCGTCATGTTGCTTTTTTGTGTTTCATCTGAATCCCAGAGATTGCCCACATTTGAGACGCCGGTAAAATGAAATATTTACTAAAGTAACTTTGCTTTTAAAAGTCTCTGAAAATTTCTTGAAACATGTGGCAACATTGTTAATATCCACTTTAACTACCTTTCTGCTGTGTGCGTGCTGTGCTGTGCTGGTGGCTGGTGTGATAAAAGGGACTGATTGGAGGGTCCGCCGTCCGTCGTCTACCCAGTCCCAGTCTACTAACCTAAAAATTTTTTTTTGTGCTTGTGTTGTACTTGTACTACTTTTGTTTGTTTGTGTAGTGTTTGTGCAAAATCGATCAACAAAGAGTGAACTTTATTAGTATTTTTATATAGAAATAAATAAAAGTGTGTGCAATGAAAAAGACTACAGCCCAAACTAGCTGCTTTTTGGTTTACCAATCAGGACGCAAGCTGATCGATATGGTAGTGGGGGTATGAGTGTGGATGGTGGATGGACTGGGTTTACTAACTTTTTCGCGAGCCAAGTCAGCCGAGCAGGTCTCTTGTAGTTTCGAAAAGTAGCAACAAAATGTTAATAAGTTCATTTTTTTATATATTCTTATGATTCGTTCATGTCCGGTGACGTAAAGTAATTGCTCGAGTAATGGACTTTTCCGAAAAGCCTACGATTTTATCGAGGATTTTATTTTCTGTGTGTGCACGGCGACTCGTCCTAGTCTGAATATATTCCACAAACTACAGTAGATACTCTCGAACAGGGCTTTGTAAAAGTTACAGAAAAGTGAAAAGCTGAAGAGTAACATGCGGAATTCAATATAGGGTTTTAGAAAAATTGCCTTTATTATACCTACCTAACCTACCTAGATGAAACTGATAATGAACTAAATGAATACAAAAATAAAATGGAGGTGCATGTTATAATAATTATTATATCCAGTCATAGTAACAATATGAAAAGACAATAGTGACAATACTAATTGTTTTTTTTCATACAGAATATGAATAATTGGTGAATCTATGTCAAAACATGTCGAACAAAGAAAAACCAATAAATAATGGCAATACTAATGGTTTAAAAGGTAGCCCAGGCAGTTCGAAAAACTCTCCAATTAAGTGCAATGAACATTATAGCCAATGCAAAGAAGAAGCATTTCAATTCGAAGTCCCAACTGAAGCTCCAGTTTTTCAACCTACAGAAGAAGAATTTTTGGACCCTTTAGCTTACATTGCTAAAATAAGACCAATTGCGGAAAAAACAGGAATATGTAAAATTAAACCACCAACAGTAAGCAATTTTTTCTTTTTTTGATAAGTTCTTCACCTACCATACCAACTCCAATTTGCCACCCAGATATTTCCATATGTAATTTATTGCTACCGTGATTCAAATAATGGTTAATCCATATTTTTTAATTAATTCTCATGATTTTTATTTCAGAAAATCTGATAGAAAACCATTAACTACTTACTAGCAGCCATTTTGATAATCTAAAATTTATCTTTTCTCTATCCCTATCCTAAACATTCGAATAATCCATATTGTAGATTTTTATTTTTAAATTAAGTAAGTTTTATACATATTTTTTAGTTGATTTGACAATAAATATCATCTTCACATTAGCTAGCTGAAATGTACCTACTAACAATAATTCTAACTATCTATCATTTGTATTACAGAGATGGCAACCTCCATTTGCTGTAGATGTGGATAAGTTGAGGTTCACTCCTAGGATACAAAGGCTAAATGAATTGGAGGTAAATTTTTATCTGCAACCTGTTAAGGATTGTTTTTTCTTTTGAGCCCTCAATAATATTTTTATTGCCTACCTAATTATTCTCATTTAATATTTTACAAAGGTAGGTAGTACATATTTTTAGAATAAGATAACCATTCATTGTCCATACCTTCAGCCTAGGCCTCGTCTAATTAAGCAAAAAATGCTTGAAGCTCCTAAGCAGTAGGTACTCTGTGATGCACTAATAGTTGACAAAGTTTATTGCTCAAAAAAATAGGTACATAAACTAAGACTTTCTCAAATATAGCTTATCCCTCAGCTCATCCTCACCCCTATATTTTTTTTGTTTTTGAAGTTAAACAAATGAATGAAATTGAATGTATTTTTCTTATACCTATAAGAATTGTATAATAATTAAGTACTAAAATATTTAAGCAACTGACAGGTGCTTTATCTACTTTACTTTAAATGCTCCAATTTTTCTGTGTGTGCATGAAGTTTCAACTTTTAAACAAAACACCTTGTATAATGTGTTTTTTTTTTCTGTTTCTCGTTTCAAATATTTAGTTTGTTAGTTCCATCTTATTTAGTTTTTCACTTATACCTAACCGCTTTTTATTGAATAAAATGTTCCCTTGATCAGATCAGTATAGGAGGCCAAGCTTTTTTTTATAGTGGGTGGTCAATTTATTATCAGTAATAACCCTGTACTATCCCTTTTTCTTGCTATAAAAGTTATGTGAAATATTCTGTTCTTTTTATTAAATGGACTTACTTAATTTAGACAGAGACGAGATCTTGAAAAAAAAACTAAGTATTCTGTATCATGGGGACTGCTAGCTTTAATAAACGTGTAGCAGCTGCTTTGTTTTTTGTGATTTTATCAAAAAATAAAGGATCAGTAAACATGCTTTATAGTCCAAAGATATAATTAACTTTCCTTGAGCCTAAATTGGTTGCCCTAAATAAGCAATATCACAACATCACAATGCAATGTCATACTTTGATTATAGCATTGTTTATAGTAACACTTTTAGTCGAAAAAGAATAACAGCTGTATGCAACATCCTCTTTTAACTTAAAAGCGCTTTTTAAAACTGGTACCTTTAAAAATTTGTATGGTTTAAAATACAAATTTTTGAAAGTGACCAGTTTTAAAAAGCGCTTTTAAGTTAAAAAAGCATGTTGTATACAGCTGTAAGTAAATAGCTTAAACAAAAGAGCAAAAGCAGTAAAAAGACACTACATAGATAAAACTAAGTATGTCTCATAAAAAAACCTTTATTATCACAATTCAATACATATAGGATTCTATGTGTTTAGGATAATAGATCCATTGATCCATAGTTAACTTATGAATAAATGAAAGTTAGGTTACATTCAAATGAGACAATCATATGAATTCTTGTGCCACAAGCAACAGGTGCAGTAAACTGTTTCATATTTGTTTTTGGCGAGGTTTTTGGCCATAAAGAAAAGTCCAGAAATTCCTCTATACAATAGAAATAAGCTTGTCCACGTAGAAAACAATTCAGTTCTGTATGAAAACTCAACAAGTCGAGTGATATTTTTTATAGCTGTAGGAAATTCGGTATAGAGTTTTATGGTATTGTAGACTTCAAAATTCCTAAAACCAGCACATAGTTTGGTATGTATGGTGAACATTCGACATAGGTAGTTTGGTGCTCAGGAAATGAAGACATGCTTCTGGACAAGACTAACCGATTCCAAGATAAAGAGACATGAGAGAGCTAGGATAACATAGTTCAGGAATAAAGGTCTACAGTGACCGGAGGAGAGGCATCAGCCATGAATCGAAATGCATGTTTTAAGGATTTAAACATGGATTGGAAGGGATACTGCAGACAAAAGCCCCAAAATGGTGGTCCATATGGAAGATGCGATCGGACGATTGTAAAAAACACAGATCTGGCAATAGAAACATTTAGATTTGTGGCGACAGCTCTCACACAGTAACATCCAGAGGCAAAGTTCTTGTTACGGCGATGATCTGTTAATGAAATTTAAGGGCAGTGTCTACTTGGAGCCAAGAAACTCACTACACAGACTTGAATCAAAGTGTTCCGCAGTAAATTTTACCTTTATTGCCTCAGAAACCAAGTACTTGTGTTTTATTATATGTGCCCAGAATGGTTTGGTAAATTTCACTTTTTGTGTTGCCAGACAGTTGCCTAACTGGCCGTTGAGTTGTATGGTCCTGTGGTCAGACAATCCCAAGATATTAACAACATTTTGTGTTTCTAATGTATTTGTACCAGAATGAACATTGAAGTCAAGAGTGGCGACTACATTTGCTTTTATCAAGCAGATTATGGAATGCATCCAAACGCTTCATGAAAATGTCAAGGTTTCCGAGCAGGATCTGTATAAACTAAAGTTACTATGCCAAGTTTGATACCTGCAAACTCAAAATGTTTCTCTATGGAAAGGTGTGCCTCCAGGAAAACTGAATCTTGTAAGCGTTTATTCAAGAAAATAGCAATCTCTCCGTGAAAATGCAAAGTTCTGCACTGCAAAAGCAAGAGACAAGCATGAAATCTGAGATATTTAGGGCTTATCATAGCGTATAACCAATTCTAACCCGGGACATCAAAATAAAAAACCATTCAGTTCTGGTACTTTTTTTATGTTCAAGTGGACTCACTTTTGTATTTAACATGATTATGCCTATTATTATTATTATTATCATTGATGCTGCCTATATGATTATTGTATCAATTATTGTTTTTAATTTTTGTAGTCTCTTAGGGTGCATCTACATGTTGCTTTACATAGGTATTATATAGGAAGATTTATATTTATAGGGTCTCTCTGTCCAAGTTGCTTCACATCGAACCGCATTAGAGATGTCGAAAATGGTTTGCACTTATTCCTTCGGGCCAGTGATTTGCGTTCATACTTGGTTCGTTTGCCCATCGTATGCCTATGTAGGCCCATCCAATAACTTTTTTTGCCCATCCCCCGAAAAAAAGCTAATTGAAAAACTCGAGGATTTTTTTAGCACCCCCAAATTTGAAAATGAACAATCTAAAATTAGTACAGTTTCCCTTACCATGATTATTGTTTCTGCACCCATCAAAATTGAAATAAAAAATAAATAAATATTATGTAAATTGAAATCTTTTTTTCATTTAAATCAGACCTGATAAGTATGTTCGACTAGCACAGGGTACAAAAGTGTCCTAGTTGCTAAAAACAAAATCAAAATTCGAGTGTAACTAACAACTGACCCAAAACTGAAATTCCTGTGCGCGAAAATATTGCGGATATTTCAAACTTGTGAAGAATTAAAGTTAAATAAATTTCAACTTACCTAATGCGAAAAAAGTCCGAACAATATTTCAATTTATATTTATTTATTTTTCATGTCAATGTTGAAGGGTGAGCAAACAATAATGATGGTTGGGCAATTGATAGGCAAATGAACTGAAATTTTATGTTGATCATTTTTAAAATAGGGGGTGAAAAAATTGTGAATACATCGAGGAAAATATTATTTCTCCAATGACTTTCTGGATATTCGCTGGGCCTACATGGGCAAACGAACTACATATTGAGCTGGAGTGTAGACATTTGAAACTTTTTCATATACAACTAACTTAGACACTCGAATTTTAATGGTTTTTTTGTTTTTTCCGAGGTTTTTTTGTTTTTTCTGAGGTTTTTTTTCCATCTGGGACACTTTTGTACTCTGTGCTAGTCAAACATACTTCTTGTCAAGTCTGATTTTAATGACAAAGAAGACGATTTTTAATATTAGGTTATTACCTTAATATTTCAATTTTGAAGGGTGAATCATGGTTGAGCAAACATGGGCAAACGAACTGTAATTTTCGATTGTTTTGGGGGTGCTGAAAAAAAAAAATTGTCAGAATTTTATTTTTTCAATAATAGTTATTGGGTGGGTCTACATGGGCCTTCGGTGAGCAAACGAACTGAATTTTGAGATTGGTCATTTCCAAATGTGGGGGTGCTGAATAAAAATATTGTTATAATTTTATTTTATAGGCTGGGAAAAAAGGTTATCGGGTTGGCCTACATGGGCATACGATGGGCAAACGAGCCGCGAATTAAATTTTCGATTTTTTTTTGGTAGGGTTGTCCCCATCACAGTGGCAGAAGCTTTTTTAGGTCTCCTGATTTTTTCACTTATACAGTTCTTTATTTGAAGTTACGATTTCCTATGGTTCCGGATACTTCCAGCACTCGTGTCGGTTGAGAACCTTGATAGGAAAATCCAGGAGAATGTTTTTTCTGACACCCCAATGCCACCGGCTCGAAAGATTTGGGAATTTCAGTTTGTTCTTGGGATTGGTGCCAAAATTTCGCGATTTTGTTGAGTCTCAGTTTTCCCATTTGTATGTGGTTGTTTGAAATGATTCAGGCTTGATGGTAATATTTTGGTTTTTGCGTTTGAGCTTGCGTTTCCCTGTATACCTTCATCATTATTCATGTTAATATAGTTCTGAAGATTTACACCTGTTACTGCCTTTTCTCTGTCACTATTCTGCCTTTGGTAATAATTATTTTGTAGAATGAGTGTAGCCTCTTCCACCTGCTCTTCCATTTCGATAATACTTCTTTCCTCTATTTTGGTTGTTGGTGGTTTTCATTTAGTTTAGCAAACTGAACGCTATTGACCCCAATCAATTTCTTTACAACTTCCTTTGGAAGGAAGGTGTCTCCTGCGACGGTTTTCTAGTTTTATAGCTTTGACAATGGTAACGTAGCTGTTTATTTTTTATTGCAATGACCTTCCAGCTCTGGTATATAAAATTCCAGCTCTGGTATACAAAAGATGCAGTCTGGGCGAATTTTTTTTACAGTTGTCACATGGGTTAGTTTGTTGGAATGATGTATTACCGAGTATTTCACTACACGCCTTGCATTCATCAATTTTTAATGTGATTTTATCCTGTGCGAAATCCTCGGCGAAATCTCCTAGTTTATAAGTTAGTTTTAAGTTTTATTTGTTCCAATCTTGTGTTAAAAATAGAA